CAAGCGGCCATGTGCGTCTTTATGATTTTAAGTGCGCATGCGCGTCTGGCCTCCATCTCTTGACTCTTACGGGAGGCGACTGTATTAATTACACCTTTTTCCTCTGGTGCCGACCTTTTTAATGCCGAAAACATTTATTTTATTATAGTGGATGGTTACAAGAAATAGGGGAGATGAGAGGGGTTATTTTATTACAACATGGTCTATCTAATAGGATGTGTTTCTATCTATCTCACGCAGTGTGTATCCTATCAATCTATCTATCTATATATTTTAAGACATTTTTATATTTATACATTCTTTTTATAGATACAAATATTTAAGTAAATGCCCTGTTTATAATAAATAGTATTAAACAACATTTACTGGCCTGAAACTCCTAGAAATTTTCACAGAAAATATTTGTCCTCCCACAGGATTCGAACCTGTATCCTATACAGAAGCGTCATATAGCTTGACGTGCTTTTAACCGATTTGTCCACAGAGGAGCGTTCGGTTAGCAAGGTCGAATTTACTGTATTCAAACTTCAATCTTCCATGAATCTCTCACGTACATTCATATCTGCTCATAGTGTATCAAATGTAAATAAATTTCTCGGACATTCAGGTCGGTAAATGTTGTTTAATAGTGTTTATTATATACAGAGCATTTACTTAAATATTTGTATCCATAAAAAGAATGTATAAACATAAAAATGTCTTAAAATAATTGTCGGACTTTATCCATTTCATAATATCTATTTATCTCACGCAGTTTACACATTATCTATCACACAGCGAGTATTCTATCTATCTATCTATCTATCTATCTATCTATCTATCTATCTATCTATCGCAGTGTGTACATTATCTATCTATCTGTAATATAGCATCAAATCTAAGTAAAAGCTTATGAAGCCTTATTTGACTAAAGCATCTTTAGTGCTGAAAACGTTTATTTTATTATAGTGGATGGTTACAAGCAAGAGGGAAGATGGGATGGGATTATTTTATTACCACATTCCCCCTCCCAATGTTTATCTTATTCATATGGAAAAAATCTTTTAAATGACTGAGTCCTTTGGGACCGTCTGGATGACTCGACATTATCAAGACATTTTTGTCTTTCTTCTTCAGGTTCTAAGCTTGGATGCTTCAACTTGACACGTTTTCATCCACTTCCTCTGTTCGCCTTCTGAATTAGTCAAATAAATTGGAATATACCAAAAACTCTAAGTATAAGTTTACGAACCTTTATTTGACTAATTCAGCCTTAGCACTGAAAACTGTTTATTATAGTGGATGGTTACAAGCGAGAGGGGAGATGGTATGTGCTTATTTTATTACCGCAATTACGATTTTTTCTAACAATTTACGTTCAGTGTAAATCCTCTTCAACGCTTTTGTTTTTCAAATTCGAAACAAATGACATGTAAACAAATGTACTTGTAAAATCTGTAAATTACAAATACTTACCGATCTTGGGTATCAAACGAAAAATAGTGGATATTTTGTACTCACCTGAAAAAAGAAAGAATAAAGTACAGTAAAAAAAAAAGGTCCTTGTTCAATAAGCAATTATCCAGACACAAATAAAATCCGCATAGCAATTTAATTCTAGAGGCTGGGGAAGAAAGATGAAAATACAATCGAATTAGTATTTATGGCCATAGGGGTGGCCAAATCGTGGCTCGCAAGCCACCTGCGGCTCTTTGAACTTTAATATGCGGCTCGTGGAAATATCTTTGATAGCCTCCTTTTTTCGTCACAGTCAAGCTTTATAATTATTTACTGAGTATTGATTGAAACCCCATTGGATTAAATCGTAAGTTTAATCTTCATGGGCATTTTGAGTTATTCATCTAGAAAGAAAACAGGTTTAAATCATTTTGTCGTCCTGGGTATGACGATAAACTATATTCCAGTCAATTTTCACAAGGATATAAACATGTCAATGAAAGACAATTTATCAGGAGGCTAGAATTAAGTGACTGTCATATCCACCACACAAAAACAATTTGAAAACATTTTTCTTTCATTATAGATATCGCATCGGAAGATATACATATAACTTCAGATGTTTATTATGCAGAAATATAAGTAGACATAAACCAGACCGAGGTTCGTGAGCCACAAGCGACTCTTTGACCTTAATTATGCGGCTTGTGGAAATATGTTGGCTGAGATCTTTATTTTCATCACAGTTAATATAAAAGAAAAAATAAGAAAAAATTCAATATTTATAATTATTTACTGGGCATGAATTAAGGCCTCATTAGATTAAAACCTAAATTTAATGATAATGTGTATGTAACAGAAATGTATGTGTAAATTTTGTTCATGTCTTGTGGCTCTCAAACATCTGCACTTTATCGTAAGTGGCTCTTATATTAAGTAAGTTTGGCCAACTCTGCAATCGATGGAGAATGTGAGCAACGAGAAATAATTATGGAAAATGGAAACAGAAAGGAATAGCTAGAATCCGAATAAGACTGTTAAATGAGGAAAGAAGGCTTAGAGAATTTGAAACTTAAATTTGAAACTTTGAGAAATTGTAGGAAGATGAGTATACAATAGACCAAGGTTGGCGAAACGGCGGTTCGTGAGCCATATGTGGCTCTTTAAACTTTAACATGCGGCTCGTGAGCCATATGTGTCTCTGATCTTTAACATGCGGCTCGTGAGCCATATGTGTCTCTTTGATCTTTAACATGCAGCTCGTGAGCCATATGTGTCTTTTTGACCTTTGACATGTGACTCGGGGAAATATGTGAGCTGAGCTCTTTTTTTTTATCACTGTTAATATAAAAGGTAGGAAGCGAGATCTGAAGAAATGGCAAGGAAGCCGAACGTGGGTCGGTTTACGAAAAAAGAAGAAAAAAAAAGAAAGAGAGAGAGATAACTCGACGTAGGGGTAGCGTGAGGAAGAGAAAAGATTAAAGGCAAGTATGAAGGAAAGGAAGTTTCTTTAAAAAAAAACAAAAAAAAAAACAAAGAAAATAATTAAAAAAATTGGAAAAAGAGAATGAGAAAAAAAAAATAATGGATGAATCAGAAACCACTGATGCCAAATCTATGCAATATCGGAAGAAGAAAAACTGAAAACCAATCCAAGGTTAGTCAAGCCGCGGCTCGCTAGCTATATGTGGCTCTTTGAACTTTAATATGCGGCCCGTAGAAATATATTGGCTTGAGTTTCTTTTTTTTTTCATCACAGTTAATATAAACGTTGAATAATAAAAAAATCAATCTTTATACTTATTTACTAGGCATGAATTGAGACCCCATTAGATTAAAATGTAAGTTTAATGTTAATGTGTATGTAACAAAAATGTATGTGTAAATTTTGTTCATCTCTTATGGCTCTCAAACATTTGCACTTTATCGTATGTGACTCTTACATTAAGCAAGATTGGCCACCCCTGATATATAATCTACTGTGGCAGAAAGTGGGGATCTGTTTATAACTTTGTTGTAAAATAAAACTGATACCCCATTTAATATACACTTGTTTGTAAATCAAATATTGATTATGCAGGGTTACTAGTGTAGAGAAATATATAGAATGTACTATGATATAAAGTGGTTGATCTGTTTATGACTTGTTTGTAAAAGAAAGAGATCCCTCACTTAATATTCATTTTTTTTTTGTTAATAAAATATTGTTGATCTCCATGCAGGTTGCCTGATTGGGTAACAAATAATGAAGTTGGTGACAAATAATCAAATATTAATTATCTCCAACCAGGGTTTCCACATCAAACAAGTTGAGAATTGGATTACATTTGAAAGCCTAGTATTACTAAATCTTGAATTGACTTTCTTCTCATTATCTGACCCAAATTAGCCTGCCTTGTGTTTTCTCTGGCAAAAAGTGGGGGATCATTTTTTGATTTGCTTGTAAAACAATAGTGATCCCCAACTTAATACTGTTTTCTTAATCAAATATTGATGTGAAAGTCCAGTGCTACTAAATCTTGAATTGACTTTCTTCTTATCAGTGTTATGTGCCATGCGTGATACACGCTTAGGCGATCATGTATCTTTTGATACATGACTGACGAGGCAGATTTTTTTTCCCGTAGTAGGTTGCTATTTCTTCCTACGGTGGACCAGTTGCCATGCAATGCTATAGAACCCGGTCTGTCCTGCTATTTACCCATAAATGAGTGGTGGGTGGAGAAGACGAGGATTCATACCTTTCCCAAGGGAATGGCTAACACAAATTAGCCCAGCTTGTATTTTCTACAGTCGAGCAATATATAAACATGCATTTCTTAATATTTATATAAAAATTAGCTAAGAAAATGTGCATGTAACAAAAATGTATGTGTACATTCTGTTCAAGCCTTGCGACTCTCAAACATCTCAACTTTATCGAATGTGACACTTATATTAAGCATGTTTGACCACTCTTACCATAGCCTTTTATTCGAATACAAGACAGAAGATATTTAGTTACCAAATCAGTGCAGGAACAATGTTAAACGTATGATTTAATGTTCTGCTATTTATTAGGTTAATTGCAAAAATAATGACGTAATAATGTCGTTTTTGACGTTAAAAATACGTAAAAAAAAACGACATTATTACGTCATTATTTTTGCACCAACCTAATAATTTGAAAACCAACGTTTCCCCCAAACTGCCAATATCTATCTATCCATCTATGTCCATTATCTATTTAAATATGTCCATTATCTACCTATTTATCTAAATATGTCCTTTATCTATCTATCAAAATATGTCCATTATCTATCTATCTATCAAAATATGTCCATTATCTGTCTATCATCTATCTATCAAAATATGTCCATTATCTTTCTATCAAAATATGTCCATTATCTATCTATCTAAATATGTCCATTATCTATCTATCAAAATATGTCCATTATCTATCTATCTAAATATGTCCATTATCTATCTATCTATCAAAATATGTCCATTATCTATCTATCTATCAAAATATGTCCATTATCTATCTATCTAAATATGTCCATTATCTATCTATCTATCAAAATATGTCCATTATCTATATATCTAAATATGTCCATTATCTATCTATCTATCTAAATATGTCCATTATCTATCTATCTATCTATCAAAATATGTCCATTATCTATCTATCTGTATATGGCTGTCTGTCAATATGTAGGCAAAAAGTTTTGTCTACCGCACTAAAAACACCTTGTTTTTCTTTTTAATAAGGAGAGAGAAAGACAAAAATGGTAAAGATGACCTTCGGGCAAATCAGCCATAATTCTGAAAATAGAAAATGATGCAGAAAGTCCCTATTCGGTTGAATTTAACAAAATTTAAGCCAAGAGGTCAGAACGTTCGCTTTCTGACCATAAGAACCGGGTTCGAATCTCACTACGGTTGATTTGTCAGGAAGGAGACTTCCTGATGTTATCGATCCGGAGAGGGAAGATCCCTGCGTGCGGCACCTTTGGGTGGGGGTGGGGGTGTTGTGTCTGAAAACCATAACACGGGTTGACCCAAGCCTTGTGAGTGAATTTGAGTAGACGGAACCCTTGATGGCCGTCGACAACTGTGCTAGCACGAAGACGCAAGTCATCGTGACCGAGGGATTGAGTGTGCTGGCCTTGTTCAAATTGTTGGTCACACTAGATAACACGCTCTTTCCTAGAAACTGTAACTAAGGTCTGCTCAGCATAGTTGCAGTATAAACCACAGCTTGGCTCTGTGGGTATTGAACAAACACAAATGTGCCTGAGAGAGAGTCTGCAATAGGGATTTGTTAGCCGCTTCAATAGACGGGTATGCTGGACTATGAGTGGCCAACAATACCTATATATATATACATACAATGGAGTTCACCCTGTACAAAGATAAAGAGCCACTCGAGGTAGGTAAAGGGTTACAGAGGAAGAGGCACTACCTCAAGCAAAGACATAATGCTACCAAGATGCAAGGAAGTTAAAGACAAGCAAAAGGCTTGAGAAAAAACGAGAAGCCCAATCCTAAATAGGAAAAACTATATGTAAATGAATTTTCAATCGTCCTGTTCACACGCCTCCTTTTAAACAGGAGTAAAGGTCATTATTTACATTATTCGGACACCTGACACAGTGGATAAAGGCGTTGGTTAGATCCAGTGACAGGATCCAAAGTGTGTGAGTTCAATACCCGGTTAAGGCAGTGGAGAACTTTCAGAGGGAAATTAGCAGGAGATAACTGATAACTGACATCCATCAAACATGGCACGTGGAACTAGAACAGTCTACCCCAGCGAGCGAAATAAAGGGTTCAGATCGAAATTCCAACCACCTGAAGAAGGCCGGAGCGTACAACGGCCGAAACGTTGTGATAAATATGGCGACAAAGATGAGGACAATAGTCCAAATAATGTACATAATACTTCATCTCAGAAATATAGACATATACTGAAGGGCCGAAACGATGTAATAAATATGGCGAAAAAGATGAGGACAATAGTCCTAATAATGTAAATAATGTGCATAATACCTCATCTCAGAAATATAGACAGATACTGAAGGGCCGAAACGATTTAATAAATATGGCGAAAAAAGATGAGGACAATAGTCTTAATAATGTAAATAATGTACATAATACATCATCTCAGAAATATAGACAGATACTGAAGGCCGAAACGATTTAATAAATATGGCGAAAAAGATGAGGACAATAGTCTTAATAATGTAAATAATGTACATAATACATCATCTCAGAAATATAGACAGATACTGAAGGGCCGAAACGATTTAATAAATATGGCGAAAAAAGATGAGGACAATAGTCCTAATAATGTAAATAATGTACATAATACATCATCTCAGAAATGTAGACTGACTCAAAAGTAGAGGTTTATCCATTGTTTCCTGTTTATGATTCCGTTTACGTTTCCTTCTAAAGTTTACTTCTAACATCTCCGCTTAAACTTTATTTAAAGTTTATTTATTGTATTTTTATTTATTTTTCCCCTCAATAGGAGTATATAGGTACGACTATCACTACGGTTCACATTCCTTCCCCAGACATTTGAAGAGAATTTTAGAAGTATGCCTTGTTTCTTGCTTAACATTAGGTTCCGGAAACTTCTAAAGTTTTCTCATTCTCTTTACATACCTTACCTTAGTGGATTTATTGCTTTGCTTGGGGTGAATTAATGTTTATATATATATATATATATATATATATATATATATATATATATATATATATGCTTTAAATATCTATTTTCCGAAATCTGTGATCGTTGGTGATTTTGCTTTTTTTCATTTTGTATGATTTAAAAAAATTAGTCTCTAACGATAAAATTATATATATATATATATATATATATATATATATATATATTTTTATCATGAACAGTTTTTGAAAAAAAAAATATGACAAAGTGGAAAAAAGATTTCGTGTGACGCGTTTCATCCAAAGAAATGCTAAGGGATAAAATCCGTCACTCGAAATATTTACACGTTGCCTTATATATATATATATATATATATATATATATATATATATATATATTCTTATGGTCTCCCGTCGAAAGTACGACTCGGAGTTTCATATTCAGTACAATCTTCAGTATTCAATATATAATAGTGATCATTGAAGTCAACACCAAGAGGCGACTGACTGATATAATATATATATATATATATATATATATATATTTGACCACTAATATTATCAATCTTCTCTCTCTCTTTCTCTCTCTCTCTCTCTATATATATATATATATAAATGCATGTGATAAAATATAACTTTAAGGTATGCTATATTTATTGGTTAAAGTGTTTATTATAAGGGATAGAATGTATCATAATATAAAAGTGGACACTGAAGTCAACACCCAGAGGCGACACTCTGTTTGCTAAACGCAATCGTCATGTTCTGAATAAACTGCTTTTAAATATAGAAATTTAAAACTTCTTAACGGATTCATTGGTGCGTATTGTTTCGACTGCCGATTAGTTGTCCTACGGCCATTGTCTGCGATGGATGTTACTCCAATGAAGCATATGAGAATTGTCATAGTGTACGAACACACTGGCAAGCCTTACCATTGAGCAAATCAAAGTATTAGACTGGCCTGGAAACTCTCCTGATTTAAACCCAATCGAGAATCTATGATCAATCTGCAACGAACGACTTCGTGGAATGGACATACGAAGTACTAACATGTGCACTGGGTTACGTTTCATTGGAAAAATGCGAAGAAAGCAAATAATAACAGAATTATTTGTTTCAATTAATTTGCACAAGGGCCTATATATGGGCGTGTGTTTGTGTGTCGAAGAGTGGGGGATTAAGTTCATAGATCTACAAAATTTATTTTTTCCACTGTGTAATGTTCGGTCTAAGTGATGAATGAAGAAATGTCGCATTAAGGGCCTTAAAAAAAGAAAGAGTTTCTGCTGAAATACAAATAATTGCTGTGTAAATAATAGAATTTTTTTCTCTTTAGGCTACGGAGTTATTGATTCATTTAGGTATGAGTGAGCTTGTAGTAGATAGTAATAAACTGGGGAAGAAAGAAAGAAAGAAAGAAAGAAAGAAAAGATGAAAATAAAGAAACAGAAAAGAATTAAATAAAAGAAAGAAAGGAAAATAAAAATAAAAAATAAAAGGAAGAAACCTAGGAAAATAAAAAAGAAAAAGAAAAGAAGAAGAAAATAAAAGAAAGAAAGAAAAAAAGAAAGAAAAAAAGAAAGAAAAGAAAGAAGAAAATAAAAGAAAAGAAGATACGGAAAAGAAAAGGAAGAACGAATGAGAGAAAAGAAATAAAGGAAAGAATAAAAGAAAGAAAGAAAGAAAGAAAGAAAGTAATGGAGAGAAAAATAAATAGAATAAACTGAAAAAAAAGAAGAAAGAAAGAAAATAGTAGGTAAAAAAGAAGAAAAGAAAGAAAATAGTAGGAAAAAAAGAAGAAAAGAAAGAAAATAGTAGGAAAAAAAAGAAGAAAAGAAAGAAAATAGTAGGAAAAAAAAGAAGGAAAGAAAGAAAATAGTAGGAAAAAAAAGAACGATGAATAACGAAGTGTGGGAAAAAGAAAGAAAATGCGAAATGATAGCAAGGAAGAAAAATCGGAAAAAGAAACGAAGAAAGATATAAGACAAAAAAGAATGACAGGCAAGAAAAAGATAATAAGAAATAATCTAAAAAAAAACAAAAGAAGGAAATAGAAAGAAAGAAATAAGAAAAAAAAAATACAACAAAAGACGAAGAAGACAACGACAAAGATCTCAAGAGAAAAAAAAAAGCAACTGGCGGAAAAAAAAATATTGAGCAAGGCGGCTTCTTATGGCAGCCATTATAACAAAATCCGTAGACAATCACATGCTTACATATATGTATCTATCAATGCCTATAATTATAACAAAGGAATGATGATAACAAAATTCAGGAATTCCAAGTGCTAAAAAGTAAAAAGACAAGAAAAAAAAAACGAAGAAAGTAAAACAATTGGACAGCGGTTCGTATTTCAACTGCTTACCAAATTGTCGGCCATGTCAGTAGGTACAATGTAAAGAAATGTTTGGTAGACGAAGGGCGGAAAGAAATGTTTCTCTGAGAGAAGACATTCACTTACCATTCTCCATCGATTCCAAAGATCTGACGTCACATAGCTGCCCCGCTCCCCATCACCAATCTTTTTTTTTTTTCATTTTACATAGAACCGTAGTTAATATTTTTTTCGATGTGCATTTTGAAGACATTTTCTTTTTTTCATTTAGAGCAACAGCGGAATTTATGCTAAACACAGTTTACAATACAAACAAAACGCCTTTAATTGACGAGACATGTTGCATATTGGGATTTGTGGACATTTCTGGAAGATTCTTTCTTGTGGTAGCTTTTAATGTCAGATAGCCTATCTACCTATCTAGCTATTTAGCTATCTATCTCAGCTTTTATCTATCTATCTATCTATCTATCTATCTATCTATCTATCTATCTATCTATCTATTCATCTATCTATCTATCTCATCTTTTATCTATCTATCTATCTATCTATCTATCTCAGCTTTTATCTTTTTATCTATTTAAATGTATATATATATATATATATATTTAAATAAATATATATATATATATATATATATATATATGCTTCAGTCTTTTCTATCTATCTATCTATATATATATATATATATACATAAATCTATCTATTTTTTATCTTACTCTTTTATCTATCTATCTATATATATATATATGCTTCACTCTTTTTCTCTCTCTCTCTCTCTATATATATATATATATATATATATATATATACACATACATACATAAACCTCTTAATCTTTTATCTTAGTCTTTTCTCTATCTGTCTAAGCGTTTATCTTTATATATATATATATATATATATATATATATATATATATATATGCATCAGTCTTTTCTCTATCTATCTATATATACATAAATATCTCTACTTTTTATCTTAGTCTTTTCTATCTAAGCGTTTTATATATATATATATATATATATATATATATATATATATATACAGTCACAGTCGTTTCTCTATCTATATATATATATATATATATATATATACACATAAATTTATCTTTTTTATCTTACTCTTTTCTCTATCTATCTATCTATATATATATATATATATGCCTCTGTCTTTTCTCTCTCTCTCTCTCTATATATATATATATATATAGATAGATAGATAGATACATAAATCTATCTACCTCAGACTTTTCTTTATCTAAGACTTTTCTTTATTTATCTATTATATCACTTGTATCATTATTTTATGCGATAATTCGCAATGTTTTCATTTCTTTTACACTTTCAATCTCGATATGGTTTTTCTCAGATTTTTCTAACAAGCACACACAGACGCACACATACACAAAAATAAAACAATAACAAGATCACTGTAAACGCAAACCTCGGACTAATAACATTAAGGAACAAATTGCACTGAAAATTGTTTCATTTTTCAAATTAGAACATTTTAACGGTATTGCGCAAACAAATATTTCGCTATGGTGTGCTGTTTTTTGACCGTGTTACTGTAACAAACATAACCATAAAGAAAAAACATAATAAAGATAATTATTATAGGATTAATATACGACCGGCTTCTTTCTGTTTATCCTCTGTTCTTACGAAATGATTAAACCCTCAATGAGTTTTGTAGCGTTCAGTGTCTGTTAGCATTCACGCTCAGCCCAGAGATGGAATACATCGCTAAAGATGTTGAGAAAATGGTCAGTTCGCTATACCGCTAAAAACTGAAAAAAAAAAAAAAATGTAAATTTTGTAAAATTCAGTCTTATTAGTCGATAAATGATTCACGTGCCTAAAAATAACTTCCGTAGGCTGTCACGTGCAAACATTTTGACCTTACTCTTTTTTTCTATTAAATTACCAATCTTTAAAGACTTTCAGCAGCAGTGTAAGCATTTCGGCTAGACAGGACGGTTTAGAGCCTCGAAAAGCCAAACATCTTAAGGTATGGTGTTGTTAAATGACGGATCGTCAATACTACGACTGATGTTCCTTTAACAGTGCCTACTGACTAAACGCCACAAAGACGGCTATAATGTTCCGCCTGCCTGCCTACCTCACTGTTCAACCTTATGGACAGCAACCACTTCTGAAACAAAAGAAGGGTTTTCAACAAAATGAACAGAGCTTTCTCTTACAGGGTAGCCATAAAATCTGGATATCACTAATATTCCTGTTATTTTATTTCACATACTGAATATGAGTTTGTCTAAAGAAAAAGGAATTGAGTGGCCGCGATGGTCATATTGACAGATAGCAAATGCTTTCAATGCCTGTCATTAAAGAAAAAAACCCTTGTAGGGAAGGTGGTTAAGAAATACAAATAGGCAATGTCTGGACGACATACTTCACTATATTGAGAGACCATTTAAGCCACAAATGTTGAAATTGTTATTCATTCTTCTTCTTCTTCTCTATGTTATTCAGAACGTAGGCGATCATGGCTCTCCACAATTTCCTGTCCTTTGTAGCTCTTAATATATTTTGTTTTTTGATATTGCTCCTAAACCTTGTTCTGCCATCCATTTACTCAAGCTCATTAAATAGGTTATGAGTTATTTTCCTCTGTCCCTCTTGCCTTCAATCTGTCCTGTGAGTATCAGATTTTCCAAGCCCGCTTTCCTACTTCTGTTTAATAGCCTCTTCAAGTGCATAGAAAACTTATATCGAACAAAAAGGGCAAAGAACTGAGAGCAACTATGATCACACTTCTTCTATGATGATCATGGCTCTCCACAATTTCCTGTCCTTTGTAGCCCTTAGTAAATTTTATCTTATTATTATCTCTCCTAAATCCTGCTCTGCCATTCATTTACTCAAGCACACTAAGTAGGTTATGAGTTATTTTCCTCTGTCTCTCTTGCCTTTAATCTGTTTTTTTTTTTTTTAGTCATTTTTAGGCTGTGGACTAATCTTTCCTCTTCTATGCGCCGTGTCCCTTCAAAACATTGGTGATCATGGCTCTCCACAATTTCCTGTACTCTGGAGCTCTTAATAAACTTTGTCTTTTTGTTACCTCTCCTAAGCTTTGTTCTAATATCAATTTACTCAAGCCTGTTAGGTAGGTTATGCGTTGTTTACCTCTGTCCATCTTGGATTCATATCTACGTCATAAGAAGCCATAAACTTATGGAAGAAATAACAAAAAGAAAGAAAAAATCATACTTACTATTAATGTTGTTGAATAAGAATATGCGTTTCTAGACTTTATGGTGTGAATATTCGATAAATCTTATTAAAAAAAAAAAATTGCGCCCCTGGGGACGTAGTTTCGAATCCTTCAGGAGAGCACATGTTTTCCTTTAATAAAATTTCTCAAATATTGAAATCGGTAGACGAAATAACTACTGTAATTTCCCATGTATAATACGCCTTCCTCCATAATAAGCACCCCTAAAATTGTGCTGAAAGTGTGAGAAAATGCTTATACTCATGCATAATACGCACCCCTCTTTTGGTAACCAAACCTTATAAATTGTACCTCTCCAATTTCATTACGGCCAGCGTTTCCTACTCTTATTAAAAAAAAAAAATGGTTTTAAACATAGAATAATAATATTCTAATTTAGTTTTATGTAAGCATGTTCACTGTTTTCGCGGGAAAACAGCATATAGCGTAATGAAAATGCCACAAACTTAAGTAAAATAAAGTTTTATCGTCAAAATGCTTATGTTATTATTAAGATGAAAGACTAAAGTATTTTTTAATTATTTTTTGAAATTTTTTAATCCTTTCTAACACGTTCGAAATTTTGGTTAAATTCTTCTTTTGTTTACGTCATCGCGGCGTCACAGAAAATAACATTTTTTTTTGCGATTTTTTTTCCGTTGAAAACATATTGATTTGGAAATTCTTGTAAAAATCAAGTAATTGTTCGATTTTAATGAAATTTTCAGGACTTATTCACAAATGAATGAAATTATTTTTGAAATATTTTTTTTTTAGAAAATTTTGATAAAAAATATATTTTTTTAAAATATGTTACCCTACATTTACTTAATTTAATGAAATTTCGCCCAAAACCTTTTTGATTCCTGAATTATTATTTTTTTTTGTTAAAAGTAGGAGTCTTCGAAGATGGTAAATAACCTACTTTTTTTTTTTTCAAATTTGAGCTATTTAACTGAAAATCTGCTCTGAATTGAAAAATAATGAATCCAATAAAACTATGATATTGATTAATTAGAAAAGCTTTTAATTGCTTTTGTAAATAAGTCATATTAAGGACATTATTGTCTGAAGAAATAATTTTTTTCTGATGAATAATTAATTTTCACAAGAATTTTTTCGTTTTTTAAGAAATTTTAATTATAATAATTTATGATAGTTTAAAATCATGTAAAGCTCTGTATTAGGAGCGTTCCTCGAGGTGATGTAGTAATTAAGTAGAAAAAAAATTTACGAGTCCAAAATTGCTAAGTTTAATAAGTTTAGTTGCCCTACTTTTTTAAAAAATAATTTTTTATATTGTATTTTTTTACTTAATCCATTCCTTATTTCCATGTATGATATACAGAAATTATCATTATTATAACAAGATCACGTGATCTAAGGGTTTTGTTCCTTTACGTGGCCTTTTCATAACATTTCGTTTCTTACAGGTTGTATTTTCCGTTCAGCTTTAAAAGTGTAAACTTTAAATTTTAAATTATTTTTCTTTTTTTCATTTACTATTTCACTAAATAATTTTATTTTATGTATTGTATTTCCATTAGTGTGTGTCATACACAAATAGAATAATTTTTTTTAAAACTCATACCTAAAAATTATGTCATTTATGGTCATCCGTAGTAGCTGTCATCGGTTCGTCATTCAACAATCCATCAATAGTTCAATCAGATGAACAGGACCGCTCGTTAATAATTGGTTGTATATTATTTTTTTATGCTATAAATAAGAAAGATTTCTTTCAAATCAGATTACTTTAAGTTTAAATTTTTTAATTTTACTAAAATAACGTGTCAGAAATTTTCTTAAATATTTTCAAAATCGATAAATTTGTGTTTGTTTACAAATTTCTTAAAATTAAGAAAATGGCCGATTTTAAGAAAATTAAAAAAATTTGAATTTAAATTTGACAATCAAATGTATATAATTTCTATCTGAAATACACCAGAATTGTTTAATTAATGGAAATCATAAATTTAATGATTAAACTTTTTTTAAAGCTAAAATAAAATCTTCAAGAATGTTTTTTCATTGTAAAAAATTCATTTTAAACTTAAATATAGAAAATTTATGCCGAAATAGTGGAGATACTTAGTTTTATGATAATTCTTATTTTATTTTACATTTGTAAGTATTGTTAGGTACATATATACGTATTTGGCATCGTTATGGGGTCGCAGTCGCCGAATGTTAGTGTCAAATGTCATATGTTTGTGGGGAGTAGTCATTTTACAACGGAAATCGACCTATGAAACGGCAATTCTTTAAAGATTTTTTGTACCTATGGATAATACGCACCCTTAATTTTTCTTCTTATTTTTTAGAAAAAAAAGCGTATTATACATGGGGAATTACAGTAAACACGGTATTTTCAATCAAACAGCTCAGTTCCTAGGAATCGAAAGCCCGACACCAGCACATGAGATTTGATTATAGTGGTGAAGGCTTTATACAGAACCATCCACACTTTTTGAGGGACTGTATACAGAGACCTGGTGCACTACGTGCCACAAGGTCCCCAAACAAACCTCTGAAGGTTTTGAATTCAGAGTTGTCTTCTCCTAGACTAATTGCCATCCAAGGCTATAGAACCCATTCTGTCCTGCTATTTAAGATTAATACCTTTCCCAAGGGTATTAGCACTTACGTGCTAATAGCTTTGGGAAAGGTATTAATCCCGATTCCTCAATTTGAGCCGCAATCCACTTCTACACCGTGCCTTCATATATATATATATATATATATATGAAGAAAAATATATGGAAAAACAAAAATCCGAATATGCAAATATACTGTTTTAATGTTATTACTATGTCGACGTCAGACGCGCCTCTGTAATTTAAATAATGCTTTATTTGTACACATAACTAAATCTGATCATAATTTCGATTTTGATTCTGTGAAGATTTTAAAATATATTCATAATAAAAATCTTAGATGGATTTATGAGGCAGGCATAATATCTATCTCACGTACGGTGAATACTAGACCCGGCTTCTTTAATATTTCCCCTTTTCTAGCAAGATTAATGTTCGACAAACGTACTTATAAATTTTAGATTAAAATAAAATTCTTCTTTTTCATTTTTCATTTAAAATATACTCTATTTTAGGAATACGTTTTCACAACATCGCCCACGTGACGCCGACGTGATCATATTGCGAAACGGAACGCTGATCTTAAAAATTTCAGTTATTCTGTTTTGATTAGTCTTACTTTTATGTCTATCGTCTTTTCATGTTGACTTGAATATATGTTAATTATGTTTTAATAACTACGTCCTGAAGAAGGTCTACTAGACCGAAACGTCTGACGTCGACATTGTAATAACATTAAAACAGCATATTTGCATAATCGGATTTTTGTTTTTCATATATTTTTCTTCATACTGTCGGATCTATATCCATATATTTGCTTACATATATATATATATATATATATATGTGTGTGTGTGTGTGTGGAAAATAACAAGACACGGCATGAAACTGGTTTCACGTCTCTCTTTGTAAGTATCTCTTTCTATTTTTCATTCTTTTTCCAGCTCTTTTATTTTTCTTGGTCTAGTCTTCACTTGTCCCTACCTTTCAGTCTGGCATCTCGGTATTGGAACCTGAGACTGCTTTTTTTTTCGGAATGTTCAGCTTTCCTCTTAATGAATAAAGAAAGACAATTCTTCGTAGTGGGTTACTACAACTTTCTCGCCCCTCACTAAATGGTAATGGTCACGCCAACAATTTAAAAAACAAAACAAAAACAAAAACAAAAAAAACCTCGCACATTTAGCGGGAGAGGCTTTCTTGCAGACGACAGACGTTTGTGTCACGCGAGGCGACAGAAGGCGTCTTCATTCACAAAGGAGCGGTTGTCGGATTTTAGATTTTTTTTTCTTTTTTACATGTTATGGGGTATCAAACAAGGGCCGAAGCCTACGAAGAAAAAAAATATAGTTTATTTTACGATGCTAGCTTCTCTCTGTGAGTTAGTTACCAGGTCAAGATGGAGACCAGGGCGAAGTTTCAAAATTTCACTGAGAATTTAATTTTAATCGCAAGTATTTTGTTTTTATAAAATTCAAAAGAATAAAAAAATATCTTTTTCGTCTTTATTTTTTTTTTAAGATTTCGTTTCTATTTTCTTTTTAATAAAATTCATATTTTTATTTTCTAGTTTTCTTTCTTCGTCATTCCTTGCTTTCTTTCTTCCAAGGGAATTATTTCAATATGAATTCTTTTTCTCTTATGCCTATTTCTTTATACATCGAATTTTTTTTTCCTTTACACGTCTAGTGTAAAAGTTTACACTCAAATTCTGGTCGCCAAACAGCATCTTTTCTTGAAACTGTGTTTTTAAAAACAACCACTTAACATTAGAATAAAAGTGGAATCAATTCTCTCTGTCAAGGCTAACATCGGAAGCAACAGCTTTCTCTTGTTACAGATATCAGGCTGATTCATAAATCATTTTCCTTCTTGTTTGTCAACTTCATTCTTGAAAATTATCGCATAATTGCATTTTATTCAATTACATATGCCCTATAATTTGAAATGACTTGAACCCATCTATCAGGCAGCTCATCGATACCGTGTGAATAGAAATTCTGTCAATTTTTATATGAAAAATGTCTTCCGCGTCAAAGAATTTTAAACTGTTGCGGGCGATACTGGTCGAGTGTTTAAGTCAGAAAACGCGTGAATCCTGGTGTATTTATATCCCGCAACAAAAATGGCGGACTCGGAATGTGAGTCCGGGTAATAAATGTAAAACTATTTATATATATAAGCAAACGTATGTATTAACAAAATAAGGGTATACATCGACAATAGAACATTGTTGCGTATTACGAAACAACGAATTTGAATGAAGAAAACATTATATATATATATATATATATATATATATATATATATATATAAACGCCCTTTATCAAAATGGTCGCACCAGCGACATAGTAATTAATTTTACGAATGAACATGCTCATAAAGATGCGTAAATTTCCAGGTTGGTTATTCCTAAATTTACGCTTGAGGATTAAACAGGGCTTGATACTTTAATTCAATTTAATTTTAATAATTATATTGAGGTTTTTGGCTCTTGTTTTTGAAACATGAGAACTCTTATGTAGCGAAGGAATAATATTTAAAAAAAATAATTATAATTTAAGCTCTACTTCTGTATGGAGCACTGTTTTTTTTTAAAATAAAAACAAACATACCAAAGAACTCCGGATTATTTACCTAACGTGCTCTTTCCTATTTTTCTACCTATTTGCACACACACACACACACACACACACACACACACACACACACACACACATATATATATATATATATATATATATATATATGTGTGTATGTATGTATGTATAATTTTTTTAATGTATGCATGCTGTATATGCACCGCATGTATACTCGCACACACACTCAGACTCACTAGGAAAATCACTGTTGACGCATTCTCGAATTGGCGCCCCTTAAAAATAAAATACCACCCCTGTGGAGTGTTCGCCCCACGTTGGAACCACGGGTGTAGACTGTCCAATCGGAAGAAGTGTAGAAGCAGATATCTCCTTTTTTTTTTAAACTACAGAATATCAGAGGGGCAAGACGTGTCTCGTTTCCCCTCATGAGGACTTCTTAATCCCAAGCGCATCACGTGTCGCGTGACAACACATCATACGAATGCCCTAAGCTAGTAACACTAACAAAACAACAAGAAAACCTTCCTCTATTGTGAGTCTCTCTAAATCTTCAGTAGGACTTTACACTCACCGTACATTCGAATATGGAGATTATTATGTTCTAGTCCATTCTTTTTATATCCTTCCGAATTACTTTTGCTCTGGCAATAATAAAATGTTGCTGTTATACGTACAATATTGTTTGTAATTTCATTTTTTATCTCTCTCGTTTCAAACATAAGCAACCACATCTCCCGCTAGGAACAAACTGGCGGCCCCAGGAATCAACACTGAAACCACCTTGAATGAATGCAAACGGAAGTAACCATAAAACAGCTCCTCACCCTAATCCTCACACTCGGTGATGAGCTGTTCGAATGGAAGGGAATTTGCAAAAGAACAGAATAGTGGATCGTGTTCTTTGTATATTCAATGAATCAATGAACAAATAAACAAAGACAAGAATTAAACAAAAAAATAAAATAAAATAAAAAAATAAAATAAAGAAAGAAAGAAATTGACGAGAACTTAATGCTACACGTTGTTAAAGGCCTCCATGTTTTTCACTGCTTTCCGCTATTCTGGGTTTTCCGACGCACTGTTTAATCAAGCGAGCTTGATTTGAACGCACACTAGCGTCGATTAAAAATCGCGAAATAGAAAAATGGCGACTAAAGTCATTCATTTAATGCAGCGTTTGATTCACTGCGCATGACAATGATTTGCATGAATACTTTAACGCGGGAGTTCTATATTTCTTATGGATGCTGGTATACAAACTGAAGTGCCAAATTGTCAGTGACACCTACATAATATAATGTGATAACGTACAACCTAAAGATCTATTTGAACTGCCAGGAAAGCTTGTGTTATTTGGGGAAATAAATGAATCCCCTACTTATACTGACAAGAAAACGCCTGATCATACGGGAGCCGGTGTTTCAACGTGATATGGCCGAAACTCATCATCCAAATGAATCGAACCTGTATGCCTTGAAAAGTCATCAATTCGAATTATTTTATAGATTTTCATAGAAACAAAGAAAATAGTACTGAACTGCTATACAATACCAATTCTCCGATATGGCAGTGAGTGCGAAAAAATTTCACTAGCAAGATTTGAAACAACAGAAATATGGTTCTACAGAAGGATGCTGAGAATACCATGGACGGAGTATGTGGACAATGGGGAAGTTTTAAGGAAAATTGAATAAAAAAAGGACACTTGTATATAAAATCAGTAAGAGGTAGTTGAAATTTATAGATAAAATAATGAAAAAAGAATGTTTTGAAAATTTAACACTCACAAGACACAGTTATGCGTCATGCGTGATACACGCTTAGGTGATCATGTATCTTTCGATACATGACTGACGAGGCACATTTTTTCCGCAATAGGTTGCCATTTCTTTCTGCAGTAGACCATTTGGCATCCAAGGCTATAGAACTGGTCTGTCCTGCTATTTAACAGGTCTGTCCTGTTATTTAACCATAGATGGGGGGAGAAGAAGAAGGTTCATACCTTTCCCAAGGGTAATAGCACGTAAGTGAATGTAATGGATTCGACTGGAATTCGAACTCGGCTCTCCGATTCCTCAATCCGAGCCACTATCCATAAGTCCACAGTACCTCGTCACAAGACATAGCAATGGCAAAAAGGGACAATAGGAAACAATGCCTAACTAGCTTGTGTAAGTGGATTGCAGAGCATTAAGTAGGGAGAATATTAAAAAGACATTGTTAAGAGCAACAAAGTATAGGAAGTTGTGGAGATCTACCATCTCCGATAATGAAATTAAATCAATTTACAGTCTCAACAGCGTTCACAAGTGTTTCCGCGTCCCTGTGGGTAATGAATTATATTGCACCCTTTCTCTCGCTTTTCTATTGCTATTTCCAGGGAAAGTGCTCTGACGAACTACATTTCTTAGTTCCACCAGATCTACTCTTGACGGCTAAGACCTGCCATGCCACGCACATTGTCGCAAACCACCCCCATTCTGTTCGTGTTCCATTGGTAAGATGTAAGTTCAATTCGAGCAGCTTCTTCCCACGAATTCCTGCCTTGGGGAACCGACTCCCAGGAGGATGCTTTTCCCAATGTCTACAATCTTAGCCTGTTCAACCGCTATCTTCCCCCACTATCTATATAAACTCTGCTTCTTATTCTGTCACCCTCTATCTCGAGTGGCTCTTGGGCATCATTGTAAAATAAGTGGAACATTGGAAAATAGCTAGTAACCTACTTTACGAACTTGTGCATATAGATAGATGAGTGAGATGGGAAGGATAGTAAAAAGATAAACATTGCTAAGAGCTACAAAGGAGAGGAAGTTGTGGAGAGCCATGATCTCCGATATTGAAGGCATGTGGGACATTGGAAAACAGCTAGTAACCTACTTGACGAACTTGTGCATATAGCTAGATGAGTGAGATGGGAAGGATAGTAAAAAGACAAACATTGCTAATAGCTACAAAGGACAGGAAGTTGTGGAGAGCCATGTTCGATATTAAAGGCATGTGGGACATTGGAAAACAGCTAGTAACCTACTTGACGAACTTGTGCATATAGATAGATGAGTGAGATGGGAAGGATAGTAAAAAGATAAACATTGCTAAGAGCTACAAAGGACAGGAAGTTGTGGAGAGCCATGATCTCCGATATTGAAGGCATTTGGGACATTGGAAAACTGCTTATTATCGGTATAGACATTGCATTTCCCGTCAAACGAAGCGAGGTGCAGATTTGACCGGGGCTTACTCCCATCCACCGAATGCAGAAGCGCAAGATCTCCCAACTGTGCCTACGTGAAGTAATGTGTCTCGCAGACAATGGCCGTAGGACAACAAATCGACAGTAGAGACAACAGTGTCTTGGCGTGATACAAATCTGATGCAATAACGGATGATGCAATATTTTCCAAGGCAAAACAAATTTCATCATACACCCCGAAAATAGATTACTGCACACCACTGCAAATGACCTAATCTGAAGAAAAAATAGAAATCGATTACCCCCTGTCACTCCAGTGGGTCTAAAACTGATCGTATGGTGAAAGAAAGGGAACTAAAGCGATTGTTTCAAATTACATAAGAATCAGCATTAAACCGGAAATGCACACGATGCACCAAATCATCCCCTACGAGGCTTATAATCATCTCATTTTCAAGTAAACTAGCTACTCATTGCTCTACCTTGAGGTAAGCTCATAATGTACACGTAAGGCTTGCAAAATTTTTATCTGATAACATTTATTTAAATTTTGTAATTTTATAAATCAATTAAAATTACAGTTTCCTTTGTAAACATATTAAAATGATTGTACGATGTTTGGACATTACTTTAAAAATATCAGTTTTAATTTGACCAGGGACCCGATGATAGGGGTGGGTATGCTGGTGGGTATGTATTCCTAGTTAGGATAAAATGATCTTGATTATAAAAAAAAAAATCAGCATTCTTTACAAAATGTTCTAAGAAGTAGGGCTTAGAATAAACATTTCCAAAAGAGAAGCTATAATCTGGAATTGGAATGAAAGCAAAAATGACACCTAAACTGAATAAATAAAAAATCAGAACGTGGAATTAATAAACTTGAAACACTTC